TACCCTGATCCCCCATACAAAAAAAACGTTATAAGAACAAACTTTCAATACAATCAGTAAATAGTTTTGTAAACTTGAGAATAGTTTTTGATCTAAAACTTTGAACAGAATCTTTCATTGTAAGAATTTGTTCATGTTCTAGTTTAGTGTTGTATTACAACACTAAACAATGTAAAAACTGATTTGTTGGCTAGTAGGTTTGTCTAAGCCTGCTAATGGGCAATTTTACAACTATTATCCACAACACTGTAACAGAAATAGTTTATGACTCTACTTTAAAATAAAAATTGTATATTTTGGTTTTTAACTAAAAAAGAAAGAAAAGTTTCATTGTAAAAGTTATTCTGCTATTTTTCATTGCCCAGGGTAAACTACAAAGAATAAGACTTCAATGACCAATATTGTTACTATAAAATTTAAAAAAATTATTTAAAAAAAGTAAGTTTCAAGTGGCTAGGTAACTTTGAATAGAAGAAATTGGAGCTTTTTCAGCTTTACAGTCTCATCCTTTGTTGGTAACCCTGTGCTTTAATAAGCTAGTACAGGGTGTTCCACGATACATGACAGTTGGTGAATAAATTAGAATGTATTTTTTCATAATTTGTTCAGTTGTTTGATACCAAAGATCAATAAAAATATTATATTGAAGTCATGTTATATTGAAATTGATTTCAAAGTAAAATATATGAAGCAAAAGATTTGTTTAACTAAAAATAACCATTTAATGAATGTCATGTTTTGTGGGACACCCTGTAGTATGGGTTTTGTGGGACACCCTGTAGTATGGGTTTTGTGGGACACCCTGTAGTATAGGTTTTGTGGGACACCCTGTAGTTTGGGTTTTGTGGGACACCCTGTAGTTGGGTTTTGTGGGACACCCTGTAGTATAGGTTTTGTGGGACACCCTGTAGTATGGGTTTTGTGGGACACCCTGTAGTTTGGGTTTTGTGGGACACCCTGTAGTTTGGGTTTTGTGGGACACCCTATAGTATGGGTTTTGAGGGACACCCTGTAGTTTGGGTTTTGTGGGACACCCTGTAGTTTGGGTTTTGTGGGACACCCTGTAGCATGGGATTTGTTTAAAATTTCTGCTAAATATGCTGATTTATGCTTTAAATAATTATGAAATAATTGGTTAGATAAAGTAATTTAGAGCTTGCCTCAAACTCTAATATTTGTAACTATATCTTTGCAACCTAATGGGTTTTATAATTCAAACTGTGAATTCGCATAGATCTAAAAGTAAAACTTTAGGTATCACAGTTTTCGTTAATTAAAATGTTGTTCACAAATGCAAAATTTAAAACAAATGATGGAGGCAAGAAATCAGTCCCTAACTTATATAAAATAAGCCTTTAAGAATAAAAATTTTTTCAGAAATTTAGACTTTAATATAACCAACGAGGTTTAAAGCATACATGTAGGGTTGTTAATCGTTTTTGAAAACGATCGAAGAACGATCGTTTTTGTTTCTTTTTGGATCGTTTTTGAAAAGAATCGTTTTTTTTCGAAAAAAACTATCGTCTTTGAACACAATCATTTTTGAAAATTACTATTTTTATGAACACAATAATGAACCTTATTTGTTTTTTAAAAAACGATTGTTTTTAAAAAAATTGACATTGATAAATATGAGTTTCTCTACATTTATGAAGACTATTATGAATGTTGTTTTACATGCAGGTTTACTAAAAAATAAATTCCTTAAAAGTTGTGGAGGAGCTAAAACTTTCTAATATTTTATATAAAACTACTCAATAATGAGTGTTCCTTCGGTTCAGTTCCCTCACTCTTCTCTCTTAATTAACGATTGTCAACAAAGGTCGGCGTTAAGAGTATTAACGAAGGGTCGACATTAACGATGGCAAATAAAGAGTCCCTCTTAACGATCGTTAACTATGGGTTGTCCTTAATAATAATTAACAAAACGACAAACTTCATAAAAACGGTCGTTTTTAAGACAACCGTTTTGAAAACCGTTTTCTTTAAAAAAGATCGTTTTCAAAAACGATAGCTTCGTTTTTCGTTTTTTGTCGTCGTTTTCATTACGAAACAATAATTTTTCAAAAAATTGAAAATTATCCATCCCTACATACAAAGTGATAATGTATAAATTGTACAGGCCACATGCTCCACTTACTTACTGCAAAAGCTAACTGTTTGATTAATCTCCGTATATTCTTTATCAGTTAGCCATCTTAATTGTACACTCAAGCTAAATAACAAGGCAGGTAGTTAACTTCCACCCCCCCCCCCTAAATATAACACTGTCTTATAATATAACACTGTATAATGGTACATTCCTATTATGAATAATCATGATTTATACTGCAGCTGGTTCTCTACAGCCTACACCCTTTAGTATTACTAGTTACAAAGTTATATACAAGTAATGTTGGGAGGGCAGGGGGAGGGGGCGGGTTCAGTTCTCCATGGACCACAAAAATTGGGTAAAAATAAGGGAGATACAGCGTCGTTTTCACAAATTGATATTGTCAATCTTTTTCTTTGCGCAAGCCACTTTTCTTTGCGATAGAAAATAATCATTCTAAAGATAGATTAAGGATGAATGGGTTTAAAAAGTACCGCTGGGGAATTTACCATTCACATAGATTCAGTCTGCTTATAAAAAGTCTCATCAAAGACAGGGTCCACTTTGAAGTGTTCTAAATTTACATTTTAGCACTTTATAGCACCATATAGCACGTGTTGTATAGCTTTGGTTTTTATAAAGTAATTGGCAAAATTCTCATCGATTTTTGCTTGATAGCTTGAGATCGACCTTAAAATCCATTACATTATAACTTTAGTACATATCTTAATTTTTAAAGGTATGAATTTCACGTTATTTTGAAACCTTACAGCAAATCAATCTGAACTATTGAGTAGATAAAATGTTTTGAATTACAAAAGTAACCTAATAAATCTGTTTTTCTTATACAGGGTGTCCCAAAAAAAAAACATGGGAATTCAGTGACGAATTGGATATCGTCTTTGTTATGAATTAGTCTTGTAATACCTAATTTCAAAAGTCATAATATTATTATATCTGCTAGAGTTTATTTTATGAAAAGGGTAAAAGACTGAAAAGATCTGTCTATAATACCTCTGCAAAATGAACAGTGAAGACGGACAAGTTTACTAGCTCTGTTTGTATACTGTAATTTTCTTGTTTTACAAAGTACAACCGTATGCAGTCAAAACATAAACAAACAAATTGAAACCATAGCAGACAAAACTTTTACAGATTACAGCTTTCTCAGTAGGTATCACTATACTAAATCAAAGTATTATTAAAGTCGACGATATCGAATTCGTCACTGAATTCCCATGTTTATTGGGACACCGGTGTATTGTGTGTAGAAACAAAACTAGACATGCTACAATATCACAAAGTCTTGCATCAATGTCGCAGAAAGTTTACCATTAACTTCTGTCTAGTTTGTATAGTATTTAGTTGCTTAGTTACATTAACTAAAATGATATCAAGTATTCACTACAAATACATCTGGTACTCAGATAAAATAGAATATATGTAATAAACACCTACTCCGTAACAAGTTCTAGTAATGTATCTATCCAGGTTCAACCCGTCTGCTATCAAAGTTAACCAGGACACAACCCACCCAGGAAATAAGAATAAACGGAAATGGCGCTGGTCTGGCATGAGAAAGCCAGTCGCACTGATTTGCAGACGAGTTCGTTATTACACACGCACACATGACGTTTCCGCCCCCTGAACCCACCTGGCTCTAAATGCCACACAGGGACACAAGCGTAGCTATCCAACAAGCTATTATCAACCAGGACACAACCCACCTGACTCTAAATCTCACACAGGGACACAAGCGTAGCTATCAAACAAGCTATTATCAACCAGGACACAACCCACCTGACTCTAATTGCCATACAGGGAAACAAGCGTAGCTATCCGACAAGCTATTATCAACCAGGACACAACCAACCTGGCTCTAAATCTCACTCAGGGACACAAGCGTAGCTATCCAACAAGCAATTATCAACCAGGACACAACCCACCTGACTCTAAATGCCATACAGGGAAACAAGCGTAGCTATCCGACAAGCTATTACAACCAGGACACAACCCACCTGGCTAGCTCTAAATCTTACAAATTGACACAAGGGTTGCTATCCAAGAAGCTCTTAATTTTAGTTTCAGTGCTATAAATGCCATACAGGGACACAAGCCTAGCTTTCCAACAAGCTATATATCGATTCCAAATGATGGGGACGATCCAGCTTTACAGTCTGCTCTAGCGATCCTATTCTCTTGCATATCTCTAATCTGGTAATACTAACCGTTCCCTTTGAAACCTTTTTCTGATCAATGATGTAAAAATACTTTCGCCTTTCTATGTTTAAAAGTGTTTAACTCTGATAATTTATAGTGTTTTTTTTCAGCAACATAATGCGCAAGTCACTTTTGTACAGAAACCATAGAATTAAAAAAACTCATTTTTTTCAATTTTAAAAATAAATTATAAGACAAAGATTTTTGGTGTACGGTTGCGAATCGGACATTGTCATGTCTCTGATTGGAGTTACTTGAAAACTCTTACAGTTCCTTTAATAACGTAACGCTATAGATGAAGGTGTCAAAAGAAGATCCAATTATCTTATGTTTATGCTTAATTGGTGAACATACATGTTTTCTTTTTTATCTTTAATTGTTGTTATTTATCGTTAAAGAATATATTTATATTTATGTTTGTTAAGACACCTGAGCTGGGAACTTTTGAATGGTGGATATTGGGATTAATGCTTGATCCACTCTTTTTCTTAATTTCGAGATTAAAAAATGCTTGTTCTCCTCTTGTAATTAATCTCAAAATTAATTAACAGATCGGGATTATTTATTTGTATTATCTTGTGCTTTGTAGTTGAATAAAAAATATGAAAAAATATGATTAAGGATATCCTATTCTAAAGTTCCCAGCTCTGGTTAGCTATACCATTACTGTAACTTTGTTTTCAGATTTAAGAATGTTGAGATAAAATTAAAATGCTTCAACACTCGACAGTTCTTAAAATCTTTCTTTTAAATTTCTGGATATCAACACAGCAAGAAGGTAAACAAAAAAGTAAAAAAAAGTAATCAACTTTTTTTTCAAAAAATCTAACAAAAAATTAAACGAAAAAAAAAATGTTTATTTTTGTAGCCTGGATATCTGTAGAAAAAAAACAAAACAAAAAACGTTGTTTTATTTCAAATATAACGAAATTGAAATTTAGATTTTATATCCACTCCTCTCACCCTAAAAATAGCTTATTGCATTTTACATATTTAAATTGTTGTCTTTGCTTTTTAATTAAAATTTTAATTGTATTTATAATTGTTCGAATATCTATCCTAAATCTCAAGAAAACAGCTGACTTGTGTTATTTTAATCTCTAATTGACCTTCAAAGATATTTAGATTTAAAAGGAATAAAACTAATCTGTCGAACTATAAACCAGATTCAGATTATTGAATGGAAACGGATATACAAAAGTTCGGTTCTAATAAATGATTTATTGAAGTTTTTTCCTATCTTTAAACTCTTTCAGTTAGTAAAACATTCAAACATTTATAAAAATATATGGAATATGAAAAATGTTGAGGCCAAATGTTGCCAGAAATAAAAACATAAAAAGTTAAATTTCTGAATAAGATGTTTTACAAGTTCAGTATGATTTATGTTCACATTAAAATGGAGAGTTCGCGAAAAATGAACAGATAGAAGTAAGATTAGTAGCGATCTCCCTTTAATTTTTCGCGAACACTCCTTTTAAAGATAAGATTACAACTTTAAATATTTAGCGCTGAGTATGTTTTACACAGGAAAGTAAATAAAGTTTCCATTGCCTGTAAAGGAAAAAAATAAAAAAAAACTGAACGCTTTTAAATTCTATCTGAGAAACAAAATTGAAGATAGGATGTTTGTCTCAATTTTGGACAGGATGTTAAATTCTGACAACTTCATGCTTTGTGTCATAAAAATAACACAACACAATGTAGAGAAACCACAGTTGAAAATAATAAATTTTTAGTAGGATATTTCATTCGTCTATATGCAGAAAAAGGTTTAAGTGACACTGTTGTGAATCGGGCATTCCAATTGAAAAATGTTAGTTTTATGACTTAATATGTAAATTTTATTATTATTAAAATCAAGTTATGATAGAAGTTTGATTTTAAATTAAGATGAACATAAAAGCTTACAGTATTTAGAAATGGGCAGTCTTCTGAACGTTTAAAATGCCCCAACAACTGTAATGCGTAATGCTATTTTTAGAATAAATAATTTTGAAATTTGCTGAAGAAATTGAGTCTTTATACCACAAACTCTAATCTTTTATCCCTATACCTTTGCAATCTGATAGTGTAGACGGTAGACCTAGTACATTTTGAACTTAGATTATTTGATCTTCTAGAATTCATAGTTTGAGATATCTTAGTTCTTCGACATTGGGGTGCAAAATATAGGAAATACAATTAGAAACTTGTGCCAAAGACTCGATTCCTTGTTAAGTTTTTTTTCTACACTAACGCATTATTTTAATTTTGTAATAATATGGTAATTTGCAATGGATTACTGTTCTATTTGGAACCATATTTAATGAATTTGAACTACCTAGTACCTACAGCTGAATCAAGTTTTTATCACCGATTCAAATAATCTTTTACTTTGAATCGGTAATTCCAATTTGAACCGGCTGTAGGTAGCTAAACGACGTAGCTCAAATTCATTAAATTCGATCCCAGGAATCTAACTATAAAAACTAATCTTACTTCAGGAGTTAACAGTATCAAGGATGTAAAAATAGATTTTTCTATGGTTGTATCAATAGGTAGGTCACATTCTCATTTAAAAAAAAAATAAAGCTAAATACCTGCCATAAACTCTAATAAAGCTAAATACCTGCCATAAACTCTAATAAAGCTAAATACCTGCCATAAACTCAAATAAAGCTAAATACCTGCCATAAACTCTAATAAAGCTAAATACCTGTCATAAACTCTAATAAAGCTAAATACCTGCCATAAACTCTAATAAAGCTAAATACCTGCCATAAACTCTAATAAAGCTAAATACCTGCCATAAACTCTAATAAAGCTAAATACCTGCCATAAACTCAAATAAAGCTTAATACCTGCCATAGACTCTTATAAAGCTAAATACCTGCCATAAACTCTAATAAAGCTAAATACCTGCCATAAACTCTAATAAAGCTAAATACCTGCCATAAACTCTAATTTCTCAATCCAATTATTTAAAAAATTTGGGGCCAAATTTCATTATTTGAAGATGTTGATGAACTACACACAGACTTAAAGCTAGATTAAATTATGAATCACCAATTCAAATCATCATGAATCTTTAAACTTTGAATCGATGATTTAAGATTTGAACCGACGGTATGTAGTTCAACGACCTAGCTTAAATTCTTTAAAGTCGGTCCCTGATGTTGTAGATCTTCAATATTTTAAACAAAAAAATTCAAATATTCAAATTTACAATAACAAAGTTTTAAACCATCAGGGATTAGATTCAATGAATTTGAGCTAGGTCTAGAGACGGTTGAACCACGTATTTTGAATCAGTGATTCAAGATTTGTCAGCGACCTAGTTCAAATTAATTTAATTCGGCCCCTGGATGCAAAAATGATAAGGATTTACAAATCATACATGCGACAAGAAATAAGTATCTTTCTAAAATAAAACGTTTCTGTATTTTTGTGGAAATTGGATGAAGTGTCAGGCTGTATGAGCACTGATAAAATATTCATAGATTGAGAAAGCTATAATTACTAACTAACCTTTTCATGTTCTGACACAAATCAACCAATAAGTCATAAAAAATACAATGTAAACTTTTAACTTTTTTTAGATAACTCATAAAAATATTCATATTATGAGCTGGCTTTATATAGTAAGAACCAGAAAACTAGGAAATATAAAGACGACTTTTAGACTCAAGTTCTGATTTTAATTAGTCCAATGGAGAATTGTACAATGTGCACAAACCATTTCACTTGACAACAGGTTTATAAGCTACAAGTAAAACTATTTTCTTCGTAAAGACATCAAAAATACTTGCTTAAATGTCGTCTCCATATTTCAGATTTTCATAGTTTTCCCTGAATAAAATTAAAATGAGGCAGATAGAAAAGAACAATCATTCATATTGTAAATCAAACTAAATAACATCGATGTTTCATTTAATCTCAGAAAAATTCAAATACCTTGAAATTTAAACCCCAATAGATATAGCTGATAAATCAGAGGGCATATCTAGGGCTGGGCACGTTCCAACCGTTAAGACAAACAAATTTTAGGTAGCCATTAGTGCTAAATGTAAGAACGGACCGCTTGTTTTGTTATTGTTATTTTCCGTTAGTTAACGATCTCAGGTTTATTGAGGGCATTAACAAAAGATATTCTGTCGTTAACATTTATTTTAGAAATTGCACGAGGCGGAAATTATTTTAACGGTTTGTCAAATCATTAACGATGCCAGCCGTTAACGGTAGTTTATAGAATTATCGGTGTAAACAGTTTGCCAAAACTCCAAAATCTCCATAAAAAATAATCGTTAACATTTCATCAAATTGGATTTCCTGTACAAGCCGTCACCAAAATACACAAAATACTTTCAAAGTTCCATCATATAAATACGGGGACTAAAGATGACATTTAAAAACATCAAAAAACATCAAAAATTTTTTTTGCAAGTTTCTTACAATTTTAGCCACAAACCGTATCGTTTTGGTTTTCAAACATATTTTTTTTTTAAAATGGGTCATTTGTTTCCTTAACGATTTAAAAATTAATGGTTTTTGCCGATCGTTAATGGACTCTTCCATTAATTTTCGAAAACCTCCGGAACTTTCCCCAGCCCTAGGCCTAGCCTAAGGGTTTACAATGAATCCTGGGAGGGTTTAAATTTCCAATGATTCTAGTTTTCTGAAAACAAATTCAAATTGTCTTATCCCTTCATATTTGCAACTTTTGAAATGCATTATTGCTACTTATAATGATAATAATAATAATAATAATAAAAATAATGATTAATAAAAATATTTATATTGGACCAGACAAAATACCATTACCGTGATCATCTTGATTTGCTTTATGATCGTAAGGGTGAATTTCTTGATAATGTCAATAACGAATATCATTGAAAATCAACTGTTAGTGGCAACATCGTGATCTGATTGATAAAGTAAATTTTCGCAATGGTAAAGACTGTAAGCGTAGTTTAGAGTAATTTTACATGCAAAGATAATATTGCCCGATTTACAACGGTTTTCTTAAAGCTTTGTCTGATCAAGTATTAATAATTATTATTCATGTTTGCCATTTTAAAAACGGAGTATTTTTAACTGTGGTATCTCTGAAAAGTGACTGCACATTGTACACGAAAAACGACAATATTTTCCACATCATTAATCAAATAAAGGTTGCTAGGGTACCATTGAAAATCGGGAGTTTTTGCATGGTTTGTCATCGAAAATTAGAAAAGTATTTTTATCGTTTTTTTAAACAAAAATTTTTTTTTCATCACCGAATCGGTAGATATTTACATCCATACCCTAATTTGTTGAACTGTAATTAGATTTTTCTGGAGTTTTTTTAGTTAGAATTGGGACAAAAGCTCATATTCCAAAAAATAATTCATAATCCAACCGTCTTTTCGATTTTTGTTGGATACACTGTAAGTGTACGTACAGAAAAATCGGCGAAATTTTGAATTTCTGCAATATTTTCTAAAAAGTCAAAAAGTGTTAGAGTGTTAGCGTTATGGTAACATATTAGTGTTCTAATATATTTGGTAGAAATAAAACATCTTTGATTTGTTATTGTAGGTTGAGGAGAAAATACTAGATGAGGTTTATAAAATGTAAATGACCTCTGAATGCAAGATCTACAATAAAAAATGAGTCGGTGGTTTCTGATGATAATGATTTCTTTCAATGCTCTTAGTTCTAGTAATCTGTAGAATGAGATTGAATTTCTGAATTTAACACTCTCGGGAATTTAAGAAATGCTATTAGATTAGCATATCCACAAATAGAGCAAACCTTAAGTCTTAGAAACTTCGGCTTTAAAGTATATTAACAGTGGCCCAACTAGCAGTTTTGTAATGGGCATGCAAAATAAAACTTTGAGTGACTTGGGGGGNAAACATACTGGTGGAAAAATACGTATTGTAAACATACTGGTGGAGTCTAAAAATTTTAGAATTTTAAATAAAAAAACAACATTTTTAATTGTTGAAGGGTTGGCTCTGTGCTCAATTATATACCAAATTCTTATGATAGCCATGGCTTGTCTTTGAAATTTTTTTTACTTCCAACAGCTTTAAAATTAACGCAATGAGTAAACTAATTAAACATGTGCACGAAGCGCCAAAAAAAAATTTCGGTTCTTCTAATGTAATTTCATGTATTTCTTAGTGTCTGTAAGTCCATGGCTCAGTCCGTAGTAGTAAGTAGATTCTGGCAGTACTTTTGTCTGTCTTTAATCCATAATAGTCCTTCTAATTGAAGCCCCTGGCCCTCTGTTCTTGTTTTCCTTTTATAGTCTGCAAAAATCCTAATAGTATCCTAATTATAAATGTATTGTAATACTCATGAGAAGTAACACTTGTGCAGGTTTTTTGAGAGAATAAATTAAGAATGACTGACCTTCTTTAAGTCAAAACGAGAAAACAGTTAGAAATTTGATGCGCTAAGCGCCAAAATTTTTTTTTCTTAATTGGCAAAATTTGATGATAGATGGTCCACAATCAAGTGAGGGGATTAAGGGGGAGGCGAGAGGGGGGCAACATATTCTGATGGGGTAGNTTTGTTGAACTTAATATGGTGAGTGGGGGGGGGGCGTATCTTGAATTAAGGCCTTTTCTGAGTTAGCATATTTTCTCTGATTTTGTTGGTATGAAATACATACATAAGATATTTTTGTTCAAACTTTTCGTAACTTCGATACATTAGTTTTCTTCAATTTAAATTTATTCGCATTTTGGTCTTAAATTCAAGTAACAATTTCTAATTGTATAGAGTGTCTTCTAATACTTTTTTGTTTGAAAGCATACACTGACACATTTCGATTTGCGCATAGAGCTATACAACCTACATATCAAGTCAATTTTTGCTTTGTATTTCTTTTTCTTGGATGTACACATTCGATTTAGTACTCAAGGTGAATTGACTAATGTTTGGTAAAGGAAAAACATAAAATAAGCAGATTTATTGTACAATTTTAGAATTTAAAAGACCTAATATTTGAGTAGTATAAGAGGCATAGTTAAGTTAATCTCAAAATAATTTCAAAATTACAAATTGTAATTTTTTCAGGAGAATCTGTAACAATGGACTGCAAATTCAACCTGGAAAACGAATCATTATACAGCGTCAAATTGTATAAAGGAAGCAAGGAATGGAATCTCAAAAACTGACGGTTTTTAATTAATTAAAAATAAAATTTAAGGAAAATTTTGAGGAAAATTGGATCTTACATTTCCAAAAATGTTGTTCTTTTTTCGTCTAAAAAAAGGATCAATTAAACAAAATGTTTGAAAAAGTAAATATTTCCCCTGGGCAATGAATAATAAATAGGACAGACCCAGAAAAGGCTTTATGTTGCTCTTTTTATACTATTTCTGCATTTTTGCAAAACAATTATTCTTAGAAAAAGTCTATAATAAATTAACCATATAAATGTAAGGGTATTTAACTGCAAAATTAATAGAATATATAAACATTATGCAATCTTAATAAACAATACAAATTTTTTTATGCCAAAACATTAGCAAAAAAACTGATTCCTCAAATTGAAATTTTCTAATCCTTTTATCTTATCTTCACAACCGGATAGAATAGTTTTTTAAACGGTTTTTTCCCACAGTTGCATAAATAGATAAAAACTTTGACTATTGGCTTTACATAAAAATTAAAAAATCAATGTAAATCGATAGTAAGACTTTCTGAAAAAATAAGAAGAGAAAAAACTAAACATTTTTTTTTTGGGGGGGGGGTGTCCAGTTGCTCCTCCCTTCAATTACAGATAAAGGGATCAATTTAATTTTGAGAATCTTAAAGGAATTTCTTCATTTTATCCCTGAATTTTCTCCACCCTACAGTGTCTACAATGTAAAAGGAGTCGACGTCCACAGGTATAGATTGTTCAATGTTTTCCCTAAGTGACAATTTCATTTATTTGCAAACACGATGCAAATAATACTATTTATTAAAAACTACAAAAATAGTTTCTGGAATAAATTTTTACAAAAAAAGTAATGGATTATAAAATAAGGCAAAATGAATTCATCTATTTTTTATTGAGGAAGCATTTCATACGCATGCCTAAAAATATGTTCTCATCTTTATTTTTTAATGCATTTAACAAAATACAAAATACGTATTGTAAACATACTGGTGGAAAAATACGTATTGTAAACATACTGGTGGAAAAATACGTATTGTAAACATACTGGTGGAAAAATACGTATTGTAAACATACTGGTGGAAAAAGCTTGGTTCGGTTTAAACTTTAAAGATGTTCGGACTTTTAAAAGGTTCCACAGTTGTCTGAAAAGTTTTAAAAATTTAAAAAGTTTTTCTTAAAGGGAGTGTTCGCGAAAAATGAAAGGGGGTATAGGCTTAATGCGATAAAAAGCGCTTCAGATCGCTACTAATCTTACGTCTATCTGTTGCGTCTATAAGGAGAAACTTGTTAAAGACGTCTCATACCGAATAACATGGCGTCCATACAAATTGAGAAAATTGCAACATACAACTTTGACCGTGAAAAAATCAATTTAATTTCAAACAAATCATTCAGATATTACAACCTATAGTCAACGATTATCTTTCGCCACATTTATATATAGTCGATTTTTCATAATATGTTTTAATTGATATGTTCTGAGAGTTACTTATAAAAACATTTATTCCTGTTTCGAGGATTTCTGGTAATGAAGACGACATTTGCATATTTTCCAGGAATGTTCGAAAACAAGTTGTAAGCTAAATATTATTTAAAACACAAAATTAAAACATATTATGAAATATCAAATATATACAAATGTGGCGAAAGATAATCGATGACTATAGGTTGTTTTTTTTACGGTCTAAGTCATATGTTCCAACTTCCTCAATTTGTATGGGCGCTAGGCTTTTCGGTATGAGACGTCTTTATCAATTTTCTCCTTATAGACGCATCAGATAGAAGTAAGATCATTAAATCTAACACCACTTAAAAAATATAATTAAAGGAAAAATATCCAGAGATAAGATATTCATATTTCATCTGAGGAACATTATTTGTATATTAATTAATAGGTCATTCATTTGTGGTCAAAAATGTTTCTCCAGTTATTTTTAAGGGGGGGGGTTGAAATTTAGGTAATATTTTTGTAGAATAGGATTTATCATTGTCGCCCCACCACAATTTTCAACTTTGTTTATGTTACAGGGACAATAATTTAAGTCAGATAGCCCTTACACCACAGTATTAAAAAGACCCTTTCTAATTTACAGATCAACAAAATGTGTTTTGCTCTGAATCGTCAACAATTAAGTTTTATTTCATTTTATTTTTAACTAAATAAATAAATTTTTAAAATATATTATTTTTATAGCTAGTAAAAGCTAAATTAATTATGTTCATGTATGCTGAATAAATTTTATAAAATAAACAAAAAGTTAAAATAAAAAATATTTAATATTTAGTACAAACATGAGTCTGGACAGACTAAGGTTTGAATACAGTGGAGATTCCTTGCAATCCCTGGTTTCATTAAACCATCTCAAGAATGAAAAGGTTAGAAAAATTAATATTTTTATGACATTTTAAATTCAGTAAACTGTGCGCCCTATTTTTTTTGTTTAAATTGTAGGCCACCAATTATAAATTATAGCCCTTAAAAATTTAGAGCAACATTATGTTTTCATATTTCTTGACATACTTGCATTTTTAAATACAAATTCTATGTCAGTTTATTGTAAACTTTAAATTTTAGAATTCCTATGATGCATATTGATTTATTGATTTATTGTTTTTTTTGATATTTATCTTACCAGAGGCCGAATTTTGAGAATTTGAGCCGCAGTTTGAAATTGAGATGCAGCTCAAATATAGTTGGTTCTATTTCAAATTGTACTCAATGTTTCAAGATTTATACCGTCGCTCAATTAAAACCAGTTTTTCGCGGATTTGAGACGCTGTTTAAATTCAATAAATTCGAAGTCATAAATACAAAAAAAAATCTGAAAAACAACTGCACAGTGAAATAATCTTCTTTTTAAATTGATGAAAAAGTGGATTTATGGGAACTTTGTATATTTAACTTATACACTATTAGCAAAAATTACATTGGCATTTGGTTTATAATCAAGCTGCCGACAGTATTTTAAAACTACTAACATTTTGTTTAAAATTATAGCTGCAGACTGTTAAAAGACATTTTGGTGAAAAGTTTCAATTGTGTTTTTTTGAAATCCTGAAGAATATGGAAAGGGTGGTTTATCAGTGTATTAACCAAGAAATAACACCTACACTCATAAAATTTGCCAACAAAATTTCTTTTTTTATCCATCTTAAAAGTGGGCCATGGACAAACATTATAGTTCAGCCTGTCTGATTCTGCTGCATAAAACATGTTGGATCAATTACATGCTGGGTATGGTAAAAACTAGACCGGCATCCTTGTACCAGTTTGGTTTAAGCAATTTTTAAACTCATGTGCGAAATATGCAGACTTGTATTTTATTCGAATATCAGTTGTTACATGTAATAAAAAAGAACATTTAAATTAGCGAAAAAATAATAAAAATTAATTTAAAGTAATCTTGATTTTGATTAATCTACAAATTGAACTTTGAAAATATGAACTTCAAACAAATTTAGAGGTTTTTAACATTTAATGTTCTTTTTGTTTAAATTCAACAGAGAAATTTTCATAAGATTTTACAGGTCATAAATATAAACTTTACCATCAAAAGCATTAGTAAATTAGAATATTGTTAAAGTAAAATTTATGTTTTCCAATACTTCAAAGCTTCATATTGAAAATAAGCTTTGATGCATCTTATCTCTAGTTTCCTTTGTATTTGATTTTGGGAAAGGTTATTTATTTTTAGAACTTTAAAATTACTCTTTTAAAAATTGAATTTACAAATATTTAGCTTTTCTAGTAATGACGTTCACCTCACATTGTATTTAAAAAGTTTATGCCTACTTAAAAGCAAATGAATAAATCTCAAATAAACTTGCTTGATTTAGATTGGGTTTGGCAGTATCCGTGTGCTGATGGCACCTGCTAATCTACTGAGCCAGGGACTGTACGGATGCGAGGTATCAGCTGATTCTCCCTCGTGGGACACGCAAATAGTTAGAAGACGACTTCATGTTCTAGGTAATTTATGACATTTTGGAATTCTAATACATAGGATATAAAATAAGATTATGTAAAATATTAAAAATGAGTAGAATAAAAAAAAGCAGAACATAATGTTGAATTCCTGAAAAAATTTTCAAATTAAATTATAAACCAAATTGATATAATAAATCGAAAAAATTCATATCCCTAACAGTGAATTTGTAATGGCTCATAAAACAAAATACGAGAGACTGAAGTTTGCAGCAGCATATTGGGTCCCCTGCATGCACTGGAGCGGAGGCCACCAGAGGGAAATAGTTTCCACCAGAGGGAAATTGTTTCCACTGGAGGGAATGCACAATTATGAATCAATGCCATATGCTCCGTAGGGATGGTATTTTGAGAATGATGAGTTTAAGTATCCATCCGTCTGATGGAGTAATTAGCATTGAATCAAAAATGTGCATTCCCTCCTTCTGGTGGAAACAATTTCTTGCAGATATGAAAAATACAAGACTTGAATCAGGATTCTAATATTTTAATTGTTTTTTTTTGTTACCAAAGACATTATATGTATATCTACATTATGTATTTCTAGTTTCTACAAATACAATGATTGCAGAATTTAATTTTGGAATCTTCTTTGATTTTAATTTATTATTCATGTTGAGGAACAATTCAAATTTAAGAACAGATAAAAGACAATTTTGTCAAAATAACAACCCCCCCCCCCATTCCTTACTTCCCATCTGATCTACATGTTTACTAACTTTATTAGGTATATGATTGTGTAATCCCAAATGTCTTGTATATATTGTCCATAGAACATTACACAATATCATTATATCATCTCCATTGTACCACAGGTTTATTCGTGTATCATCAGAGCTGTGAACTTTTGAATGGTGGATATCTAGATTAATGCTTAATCCACTCTTTTTCTTAATCGCAAGATTAAATAACGCTTGTTCTTATCTTGTCATTAATCTACAAATTAATTAACCGATGTGGATTAAGGATATCCCATTCCAAAGTTTTCAGCTCAGAGCTGGTAACTTCTGAAAGATTATTCCATTCCTAAAGAGATAAATTGTCTCTTTTCCTTAATCTAAATCGTTTCTTCTGAACACTTGATACGGATTTAAATGCTTAATCTTGTTGATTCAAAAGTTTCCGCTGACCGCTATCCTCACCAAAAGATACGACCTCAGTATTCATATTAACATGCAATCCATATTGTTCGGACACAGAATAGAGGGTGACCTAAAAAGAGATGAAAAAAGAAATTATAAAAAAAATTCTCGATTGTCTTAAAAGGAGTTAAAGTGTAATTTTACGTTAATTTAAAAGAGGGGTATCCCCCATTCACAACGGTACCCTTTAAACAAAGAGAATAGAATATATATTAGAGGGAAATTTAGAAAATCTCTCGGTATGAATTTTGTCAGTCCCTTTCAGCCTGAAAGGGAGCTTAAAGTGTACAAATCATGTAAATGTTCACAAATTATATGCAGTACATTAATACAGTATGGTTCCTAGACTGTCCATTTCAATTTCGAATTTTTTAAAGCTGTTAAATAAACTTTATAAAATGAATTAGGTAGATAAAAAACATCATATGATTTATAGTTATAACGGAAAATCATCGTTAGTAAAGTAAAAGGCATAGAGTCAATGTGAAATGATCATTGGCCAATTATGAAACCAGCCTATTTCATAATTTGGTTTTCTTTTAATATTAATTTTAGATTTTCTATAAAATGATGTTCCAGGGCCCAAAAGGTTTTATAGCACAAATATGTGAAGTACACCTGCAGTACAACAAAATGGCCGTTATACATTTGTAAATTTCACTCTAATATATATTCTATTCTCTTTGCCTTTAAAACTTTGTTTGATTGTAATTGTTCACACAGGACTTGAATGGCTTTTTACACAGTATTTAAGAGACATATACAGCGAGTTACTATCGATGATGATCAGTTCCAGACTTAAAGGATACCAATGTTAATCAGAAATGTCTCTATTTAATGGAAAGTAACTTGAAATTACTCTGACAGGCCTTTGATATTTTTTTTACTAGAATTTTATTAAAAGGGAGAGGTCTCAAATAGTAAACGAACAGTTCTGGGTTGTCAGCTTAAAATAATCTTAATTTTGTTCTTAATCAGAGCATGGTATTAAAGTTTCATTTTCTGGAACATTGTTTAAAGTATGAAATGTTGTTCGTTAGGTTCACTTTTACCATAATTACAATGGAGTCCCAGTGGACTAGAATGGGAGTGATGCTAATGAAAAATATTAAATTAACTTCATAAGTTTAAATTTGAAAATTTTATCTAGTTCAATATTAGCATAAAAATGCATAAATAATTATTCTTTTAAGAGACTGCTTCAATTACCATAACCTGTTTACAATGGTATCCGCGAAATTTAGATTTAAAAAATGCGGAAAGAGAAATAGCAAGTTTAATAAAAATATAAAAAATGACGAATCAAATTTATTTTCAATATTTTAGTCGAACCCACCACTCAACCTGAGATAAATGGGATTGAAGCTAACTACAAATCTGGACAAAATCTTCATCTTACCTGTATATCTAAGGAAATAATATATATTTATTGAAATTAAGAACATTTGAATAAGAATAATATGTAGTAATAATATATAAAAAAAATTCAAAAAAATAAAAGCTTTCCTAAAAAAATAATTTCACTGTTTTGAAGTAGATATTTTGCTCAAAGTTTCCTTTAACGCACCATTTTTTAAATACTCAAATTAGACTAATATAAAAAATTGAAATTCAAACAAAACAATTGTATTTTCAATCTAGTTTAAAGCCAGTAAAGTAACAATTGTTCGAGAAACTCCATTTTCGAGTCATGAATTTTATTTTATTACTAAAGATGCCATTTTACTAAAATAAATATCATTATTCGGCTTCAGGACACGTACCCAGCAGCAAATATAACCTGGTATATGGCCGGCCGAAAGGTAAAGGAACTGAGTTCTGTGACAAACTTTAATTTTAGAATTCATTTATCTTTGCAACTTGGTGTCGACGTAGAACTTTTGAATTTTAAACCATGAATTTTGTTAGATCAAATATTTAAAATCAAGTACTCAGTTTCTAAAACTGCTTGGAATCTATCTACATATTTATACGTTGCTTGTCTGTTTGTATCCAATAAAAGTCAAAACAAAACGTCTGAACAGATCGGAACCACATTTTGTGTGGGACATTACGTGACCCAAGGGAAGGCTAATGGATGATCGAATCTTCAAAAATTTGCCTCTAACAAAAATCGATATTTGAGAATTTTGAAAATCCACATTTTTTTTTAATCTGCGAAATTTTGTTTGTTTTTGTATTACAATATATATATACAAAGAGAAGATGTTCACAATTGAAATACACGATAAGCCGAATATGTATAATTTAGGCTAGTCAATATTCATTCTAGTTAGCAGGGCGAGAATTGTTATGTCAAACAAATCATTTTCTTACCCATACAAATAATGGCCTGTAAAACTGAGTAGTATTATAGTTACTTAGGGTAAATAAAACATTTTTTTTAAATGGATTGTTTGCGAAAAATGAAAGGAGGTTTAGGCTGATCTCGAATTTAATTCGAAAGCGATCGTGTCGACATATAAATCCATATAGTTGCATTATTCTCCTCTGATCGTATTTAGTTCAATCAATATGTATAGTTGATAGTTCATAATTTTTTTATTTTTTCATTTAGAATGTTTAATATAGGAGGATTTTTTGGTCGTTAGATGTCTCGTCTACCGATGTTTCGGGGATTTTAACTTGGGATCGAGAGACTGCACCTAGGGGCCAAAAAATCGTTCTCAGTAGTTCATCATATATAAAATTCAGTAGTCGCTTGGCATAACATCAACTTTTTTAGAATTTGCTGATTTTACGATTTTTCCATATTACAGGTTGAGTCTGCGGGAAGTGATCAATTGACTGAATCAAGTGGATTGATCACAACAAGATCATACCTAAATATATCTATCAATCACTCAACAGAGATCAAATGTTTGAGTTCACTCTGGGTAGGTGTTTAAGTACCAACAATTCTTAAACAAGCTTTCTTGCACGGGGCAGCCGTAGTACATTTGAATTTCCCAGCCAAGTCAACCTTTACGGTCCCAGTTTGTACTGTATCGACCGGACATTGGGTAAATAAAGCAGACACTTAATGTGCTTGGATAATTGCAATCCATTTGTATCATATAGATAATCCAGCCTACCCTGGGCCTGGTTGCACTATTTTTGTAATTTCTATCTTCGAGTTGAAATAGGGAAGTTTGATATATGTCACATTTTTTTGATAAATATTTGTTTTTAGATCCATGTTTACGGTGCTTTTCAAAAATAGTAAAAATAGTAAAAAATTTTAACTATTTTTTTTTTGAATCAGTCAGTCCTTTGAACTGCTTTGCGCATAATATTAAGTTTGATATTTATTGTTCAAAATATTAAGTTTATTGTTGAACATTTTATATTTTTACAAATAACCCTTCACCTTTAGATCCATTATGTTTGACATAAAAATTGATGATTCAATATTTCATTTTCTCAACAACCATTCCTTTATTCTTTATTATGAAACAAAAAAAAAAGTACATTGGTCTTGTCGACGTCTTTAGTCTTTCTCTTAGAAAGAAAGACTGTAATTGTTATAAGTAAAAGAAAGAACGTAGACGACTTCTATTCCAAGCAGAGCAATAAATATGGAAATTAAGAGACGACTTGATAATTAATTGTCATGTTTATCAGTAAATGACAGAGAGTTTATCTAAGATATTAAACATTAAAATAATGTGATGTTATTGAATGAATTGGTATATTTCTAATTATATTGGATCTGTATATTCAGTGGTCTGCGTTTATATTAACACAATGCAGAAAAATCTCTGTTTGATTTAAAACCAGCTTTTTTAAAATTACAAGTTTAAAGTATACATTATAAGTAAGGTTTCCAGCGAACGAAACGTTTCGCGAAAAAAATGCGGACATTTTCGTTCGTATTTTGCAAACTTTTTCGCGAAAATAAATGAAGCGAAAAATGCAAAAAACAAAGTGAAATTTTGCGAAAAAAAAATTCGCCGAAAATATTTTCGCAAAACTTTCTCATATCGCGAAAAACAATGTTGAAACTTGTTAGTGAAACTGGATACGAAGACCTAAATCTTTTCATCCTGAAGACGTTGACCTTTGATATTTCAAATTAAGATTATTTTATCCTACAGAAATCATTTTATGACATGTTTAAGGTCCACGACATTGTGTTGCAAAGATGTAGGGATTACACGTCAAAAATTGTTGGCGCACCGGCTTCAAATTCACTTTAGCAGAATCATTCAGCAAATTGACGAATGATTCTATCAAGGTGAATTTGATGCCAATGCTCAAACAAATTTTGTATGATGAAAATTTGAAATTGTAGTGTTGGAGCGTAGAAAATCAGGGATGGCGTAGAAAATCAGGGATTGCGTAGAAAATCAGGGATTGCATATAAAATCAGGGATTAATTAGAAAATCAGGGATTGGGTAGAAAATCAGGGATTGCGGAGAAAATCAGGGATTAATTGGAAAAAACAGGGATTGCGTAGAAAATCATGGATTGCGTCCAAAATTTTAGTTTTAGGTGCCACAAAAATTATTTTTAATTTTGTTTAGACTCATCACTACCAGAGTAAAAACTATGCTCTGCTAGTAAAAGATCCTCCAGTAGAACCTGTCAAAACAAACCAAACAGAACATATTTCACAAGCAATCAGAGATCAAAACAGTTCAGGTATCTTCCTATTGAGAGATAAAAACAGTTCAGGTATCTACCTATTGAGAGATAAAAACAGTTCAGGTATATACCTATTAAGAGATCAAAACAGTTCAGATATCTACCTATTGAGAGATAAAAACAGTTCAGATATCTACCTATTGAGAGATCAAAACAGTTGAGGTATCTAAATATTGAGAGATCAAAACAATTCAGGTATCTACCTAATGAGAGATCAAAACAGTTCAGGTATTTACTTAATCAGAGATCAAAACAGTTCTGATTTTCTAATCCTTATATCTTATAACAATCAGTCAGTAGTTATTTCCGAAATGATCTAATTTTAAAATATCAAGGGTTTTCGCAATCAAGTTGCAAAGACAAAGGGGTTAGAAAATTAGATTTTGTGACAACGACTAAATTCCTTTAATGAATTTGAACTTCCTACCGCTCCGCCGGTTCAAATTTGAATCGCCGATTCAAATTCATTAACTTTGAATCTGTTGGTCAAATTTGAACCCGAAGAAGGTAGCTCAAATTCATTAAATTCGGTCCGGGTTAAATCAAATAATCATAATTTGAAATATCAAAGGTCTTTACTTTCAAGTTGCAAAAATATAGGAATTAAAACATTGTTCCTTTACATGAAATGTATTTCTCTGTTGCAATGAGCTGCCATTGTATGTTATTTGAAATACATCCGGTGTCAGAACCATCCTAAATCAAGTTTTAGACCTTTAAGAAAATTGTTTGAAATGAAATAGGATGCTTCCTTCCATTAAATTTATTCTTATTTATTTTACTTTAAGAAAATATAATTTCAACTTAAAAAGTTGGGAGGTTTTAATTTATCAAGCTGTCGTCCGAGCCAAAGCATGTATGTTCAATGTGTTTTAAGCAAAAGAATTGAGTTGTTGCCACAAACTCTAATTTTATAATCTCTTTATCTTGTAGACCTTAGATATATCAAATTATGACTTCTGTTAGATCAAATAAATAACAAAGGTTTATACCATCAGGTTGCAAAGATTAGAAATTTTGAGTTTGTGCAAAGACTTATTTCCTTTTAGATAATTATTGACCAGAACTTTTTTAAATTAGGCTATTACAAAAAAAATGAAACAAAATCTTATTTTAAAAAATTCTCAATTTTTTTTCAGGCTCAGGCGTAGAGATTTCACACTGGATTATTCTCTTGTTCTCATCTATCATCCAACACTTGATAATTCAACTCATTCAATTCCTTATTCATCCTGATTCTGTCATTCATCCTAAGATTCATCCCATTCAAGTACAACTGTGATAACTTATAGCTGACATATAAAGCAATCGTTTTCATAGATTGTTTTTTAAAAAATTAGGAGAGTCTCAAAATTCACAAAAAAAAAGCTTTTTCAACGCTGCCAAAGTTTTAAATTTGCCAAAAAAATAAAGCAGTAAACGATTGATAGTTGTATGCTATTTCCCATTTGTGTCCATTTCTGAAAAACTGCATCAAAAAAAGCAAATTGTAAATCATGGTCATTAATTTATTTTTCTGATAAAAATATTGACCTCTTTATTTAACTGTACTGGTACATCAAAAAATTGCAATTTTCCAAACATGATATCTTTTCAATTTTTCCCCCTGAAATATATGTTTTTTAAAAATCGCAAATACAGTTTTTTACAGAAGAAACAACTTTCTGTTGGAATCTGTTTTTTTAATCCCAAAAATTAACCAACATTTTCATGATTACAAAATACTTCAGACAGGAGTGTTTAAAACTATAGATTCTAAATTAACTTTTTTAAAGCTGAATTTTTTAAAATAATTCTTATTTGCAAATTTTTAAGAATGACTTAATACGTTTTATACAAGATATTTTTGTCTATTACGGGTCATGCACGATTGCTACTAACTACATGTTCTATTAATTCGCGTTAGTTGTACTCTTGTTTTTTGTAATAAAATAAATGAAATAATATGAGTTTTATGTTTAATTATAGGTTTGTTAAAAGGTTTGTTTTTCATTCATCTGGTTTTATTACATAGCATTGTTATAATTTAAACAACATGATAGAAGAAATCCTTTGTTTTTAATTTTGCTATTAAAATTTGCGGGAAAATTGAAAAAATTGAAAATCAAATGGAATCAATGTAAATTTAAACCCCCTCGAGGGATTCAATTTTGAGCGTATCCTAAGGGTTTATTATTGAATTTCTATTGATTGTAATTTTCATTCCTTTGTAAAGAGCTGGGTTTAACATGAGTAATATTGGGATTAAATAAAAACTATTTGTAAACCAAAAAACCAGTTTTTCTTCAACTAATCTTTGTTTGCTTGTGTAAGCTGTTTGTCAGTTCATAACTCGCAGAGAACTATTTGCCTTAATCATTGTGATTGAGGAACTCTCTGAAACCCCAAGAATGTTGTATTAGCTTTTGGTTAAATTCATATTCTGTTCTGATAAGTATACAAGCCATGCACAACGATATCGGTTTTTACATCCACCAGATGTGAGAACTAAACTGCTATATAGAAGCCCCAAGAAAAGAAAGCCGAACAGCTAGTTCAAATGGATACAAGTTTCTCATTGAAAATTTTAAGTTTCTTATGGACGACTTCAAGTTTCTTATTGACGACTTCAAGTTTCTTATTGACGACTTTAAGTTTCTCATGGACAATTTAAAGTTTCTCATGGACGATTTAAAGTTTCTCGTAGACAAATTTAATTTCTCATTGACGATTTTAAGCTTCTCATGGACGATTTTATTCTCTTTGAGAATTTTAAGTTTCTCAATGACCATTTAAGTTTCTTATTGACAATTTTAAGTTTCTTATGGACGACTTAAGTTTATCATGGACAACTTTAAGCTATTTATGGACGAATTTAAGTTTCTCATCGACGATTTTAAGCTTCTCATGGACGAATTTAAGTTTTTCATTGACGATTTTAAGTTTCTCATGGACGAATTTAAGTTTGATAATGAAGATTTTAAGTTTCTCATGGACAATTTTAAGTTTCTCATTGACAATTTTAAGTTTCTCATGGACGATGTTGAGTTTCTCATTGACAATTTTAAGTTTCTCATAGACAGCGAAATAGTCAAGTTTAATGAAGCTATATTTTAAAGTTATATTTAAATCTTGATAAATGCTTTTTTTGCAATTTTTCAATCATGTTAGATTTCATTTCCATTTTTAGCGGAAGTAGTAAAATTTATTAATGTATGGTCAAACAAACAAATTATAACTGACTTGGTGAGGTAAAGAGGTAAAATCGAAGCCCAAGTTGTTGAGCAGCTTTATAGTCGAGACTGTCTAACAAAGGAAATGAGTCTTTGCAACAAAATCTGATTTTCTAATCTCTATATCTTTTCAACCCAATGTCGTAGACATTAGATATTTCAAACTATGAATTCTTCTAGATCAAAAAAAACTAAGTTTGAAATATCTAAGGTTTTTGTATTCAGGTTAACAAGATATAGGGATGGAAAAATCCGATTTTGTGGCAAAGACTCAATTCCTTTGATGTATAACTTTCATAACTGTCTAAATATCGGTCCCAACATAAGAATAATCTTTATATTCTATGGCTGCATGGTGCCATCGGTATCAAAAAGAAAAAGAAAATTCTTTTCAAAAACTGGTTATTGAGTGTGCAACTATTTTCATTAAATGTCGCACTGTACATGTGATCTTGCCAGGCTGTATTTGTTGCAAAAAGCGTGCTGGGTCGACCCTACACTGGGTAGCCAGACTGGACAGTACGACTAAATGTACATACAGTACATGTTGTACCGGCACAGAGCATGCAACTTTTAGAGTGGCGTGGCCGATCATCAAAAAATTAATTAATGCAGGTCCTTGTTAAAACCAGCTCTTTACAAAGGAATGTCATTTAATAGTAGTAATTAGTATAAATGGAACTTTATAATCCTTCAAGGGGGGGGGGGTTTAAATTTCAATTAATTTTAACTTTTCTGGGATAAGATGATGCAGTTAAGAAATTGCTCAGTTCTAATTTAGAAGTAAACTAATATCTACAGAAACACCTTAAGGTTTTAATAATTACCCTACAAATATTAAATGTATTTATTAGAAAATCTATTACATAATGGATTTTATGATATAATATGCTAATATTTGTCAAAGTAGAATTTGACATTTTCCGACATACTTTTCAACTTTTTTTAAAGCTCCTAAGTACTCTAATTATTAAAGTAAGCTTAGCACTTGCCTTTGAAAAGTTGGAATATTTTAGACAAAAATATCCCAACCTGCAGGATAAGGTTAAAATAATAATAATAATAATAAAAGGGTTTCTCCATCAAACTGAATTTAAGGAAGAGTAATGCAATTTCGCTTAAAGAATAATTGGAACATAGGTTAATAAAAACACAGATGGAAAACTTTATATCGTCTATTTAAGATTTAAGGGTTTTTCGTTCACAAAAACCCTGAGGTAGAAGCGCCCAAAAGAGTTCCGCACTGGCAGTGCATGATCTCTCTCTGTTTTGTAATTCAACGAATAACCCCTAAATCTTGAAAAGACGACATCTAGGGATCTGTCTGTGTTGCTATTAATCTATGAATTGAAACCATTTGAAGGAAAGGTAAATAACATAAACAATGCAACATGTTTCTCAAAGTATCATCAACAACTTGCAATCTTAAAACTTTGGAAAAATAGAAAATTGATCTTGCTTCATTTTAGCATATGTTTGTCTGGGACTGGGGGGGGTGGGGGGGGCATAGGATGGAATGTCCCCATTGGGGTACAGTGAAAATGGCATGAAACATATAAATATCATAAAATCGCTTCTTATCATCTTTTTTTATCATGTAAAATTTAATTCTAAGAAAAATTTAGAAAAGGCGTTTTTTGATCGGAAGACATCTTGATTCCCAAATTTGGGCTTTTATGTACCGCTGATGATAGGAAACGAAAAAAAGATTTATATAATTTCACTGTACCCTAATGTATAAGTATATTAAATTGTCTTCTACTTCTATCATAGCAACCTTATGATCTTAATCTTTGTTATTTTAAATTTAGATTATTTGATTTAGCAGAATACATACTTTACATATATAGAGATCTACCGATATTGGGGTGCAAAAAAGGTATTATAAAATCAGAGTTTGTGGCAAAGACTTATTTATTTTGTTTTATTTCCAGGACCCCATGGCCCATATATTAATAACATTAAAGGGAGTGATCGACCGGCAATGAATAGTTGTTGAACTGAGAATGCAGTATTATTGTGGGGAAATTTTTAGGATTCATTTAAGACATATAAAGCGTTTTAATGATGTATAATTTACTGAGTTTGGGCTCGAAGTCGACTTTCAAAATCATCCATTTGGGTGGTGACGTTTTGAGAATAAAATGTTTTAAAATTTTAAGTCATGACGACGATGACGATGTTTAGAAACATATATTTCTCAAAAGAAATTTTTCAATAAATCAATGTTAGAATTATAATTTTTTTTTCATTATTAAATTGGTCACTCCATTAATACTAAAATATTTTAACGTCCCGGTTTCAACACTGTAATCGAGACAGTAGGAGGAGAGCAAATTAACGTGACATTATTGCTACGATCCCTTGTGACCTCGTAACTCTTTTTTTGAGTTTTGACTTTACGCACAAGTTTAAGAAAATCAAAGAGAATTAAGTCTTTGTCATAAAACTCTGATTTTCTTATCCCTTTATCTTTGCTTCCCAATGTTGTAAATCTTAGATATTTCAAATTATGGATTCTATTAGATTCTTGGGTTAGATTAAATAATATAAGTTTGAAATAGCAAAGGTTAACACAATCGGGCTGCAAAGTAATACGAGTTTGTGGCAAACAATAAAAAATAAAAAATAATAAAAATTTGTTCTTCTAAAGAGTTCTGATTGAAAATATATATGATTGCAATCTTGCATGCAATTTCTTTAGTGTAACGTTAAAAAAGGCATTTTGATTGCGTTTAACCCTAAGGCTGGGGGGTCTGAATCTATGTATAGCCTGGGGGGCGTTTGGTGCCCCCCCCCCCTGGAAAAAGTCTAAGAGAATAGGTATTGGATTGAAATGCATGTTCATAGCCCAATTTTTAATGGCCAGCTCACACAAAACAAAAATTAGACCGATAGCTTTAATAGTTTGGGTGCTAGGAAGGGTGAAAAGATGGCTAAAAATACGTAAAAAAAATATTTTTTTTTAAACAAATATCAAAATGTGACATATGTTTCTACATGTATTTTTCAAGTAGTTTTTAGATCTGTAGCTTTAGTCACAAAAAAGTTATGGGCTATTTTAGATTTATTTTTTCACAAACCGGACATTTTTTTCCCTACCCTATAAATAAAAAAGTATTCATTGAAAGTCACAAAATTTCAGAAAATTTAAAAATATAGTTTTTAGATCTGTAGCTTTAGTCACAAAACAGTTATGGGCTATTTTAAATCTTTTTTTTTCAGAGACCGGACTTTTTTCTCTACCCTATAAATTGAAAAAAAAAATAAAAAAATATCTTTTTAACGAAAAATTCTTTAAATTACTATTCATTAAAAGTCACAAAATTTCACAGTGATAGTGTCAAAAATGAGATGGTGCTAGGACAAACAAAAAATAGCCTGTTTAGGGTTAATTTGAAACCTGAATTAATGTGCATGCTGCCTGGCATGAAAGCTTTTTTTTCCTGGGAAAAAAGTTGATTAAGTAAAACATATTTGAGTAAACCAGTCGCAGAAATTAAAGGGATTTACTTAAAGTACAGGATATTAATCAAACATATAAAAAGAAAAATAAGAAAAAAGAATACACATTTATTTACAATTTTTTAGAGACCAGGCTTGGTTTACATGGCTTTTGATGTTCATTCTTCCTATCACTATAGAATTGTTCAAATTGTTATGCACCGGTTTTGCTGTTAACAAGCCAAAATATTTTGCACGTCTATACCATAGC